AGTTTTTCTCACAAGTTGTCACAGATATTTGATATATTTTCATAACCTAAATCTTTTTTTTTAAACAAATTTTTAAAAAAGATTTATTTATTTATACAAGAACTGGGGTACGGGCCAGATGCACGGGAAGGTGAGAGGATTCACCAGAGACAGAGCAGGGAACAGAACAGGCAGACTGACGAAATACACTGCTGAGGGGAGCAGCGGGTGCGACGGGAAGGTCTGCTGCGCCATGTGGGATCCTTGCCAGCCGGCCAGGATCGAACCAGCACTGCAGAGGCTGCAGACTGCTTCACAGCGCTGCGCTCAACTGCCTGCACCACCAGGGGAGGCCCACCCAAATCTTTAAAGCTATTAATAAAAATGTTGAGTTTTCTCAGAGAAAAAAATAATAGTAAAATATAATCAGAAAAAAAATGATTGTTATATCATTTTCTAAGTGTCCAATATAAGTCTGTCCAATAATTTCTTTTAGAATGCTTGTTATTAAACAGCATTAAACCAGCACTAGAGTCTACAGTTATTAACATCTAATTGCTCCCTGCCACATCTTTGAATAAAAAAAATTGCTTATATTACGTTTCACTTTTCTCATTCTCTGTGATTTTTCAGAGATTAATACTGTTTTGGCAATCATGTTCAGAAATTCTAGGTTTACAGGATAAAACTTCTCTATGAGCCTTCTTGGAAGATTAGAAATACTTTGAATAATTTAGGTATTTGCATATAAATGTGGGAATAAAATATATTTTGCAAAAAATTCAAATAAGCTATCCTTTACAATTTGAAGATTCCCCTTGATAGAAAAGACAAAAAGGAGGGGTCGAATCGAATTCTCTTTGTTTTTTGGTTTTTTTTTAAAGATTTATTTATTTATACAAGCACTGGGTACAGTCAGAAGCGCAGGAGTGTGAGAGAATTCACCTGAGCCAGAGTAGGGAGCAGAAGGTGTGGCAGGAGAGGTCTGCGCACCATGTGGGACCCTCCTCCGGTGGCCCGGGGAGCAGCCGGGGATTGAACCAGCGCCCCAGAAGCTGCAGGCAGCTTCGCAACCCAGCGCTCAATTGCTGCACCACCGGGGAGGCCCGAATCAAGTTCTCTTTGCCACTCCATTCCTGTCTTCTCGTTATCCTATTAGCCCAAACAAGTTCTTAAGGTACTTACTATTGTTTTTAAGAACGTTTCCTAAGTTTTACTCCTTTTCTATGCTTAAACCTAGAGTATACTATGATTGGAAGCATGTACCACCTCTTTTGTCTAAATCAGGTATTACTAATTTCTTTTTAAAATGTACATATAAAGATACCACATGCTCATTATTTTTAAAAACCCAAACCATACAGATTTGCATAAAAAATATGAAAGACCTTATTCTTTCATGAGATAATCAGTAGTATATTTTTCTGAAAAAATTTCCTATGCACACATGGCCTTAAAACTTGAGTTCAGAGGGCCTCCCCAGTGGCGCAGCGGGTTGAGCACAGCACTGTGAAGCTGTTCCCAGCCTCTGCAGTGGGGGTTCAATTCCTGGCAGGCCAGGGAGATTCCCACATGGCGCAGCAGACCTCTCCTGTCGCACCCGCTGCTCCCCTCAGCAGTGCCTGTTCCGCTCCCTGCTCTGTCTCTGGTGAATTTTCTCACCCTTCCATGCCTCTGGCCTCTAACCCAGTTCTTGTATAAATAAATAAACCTTTAAAAAAAAACAAAAACAAAAAAAATTGAGTTCAGAGAGCACCCTTGACAGCCATGAAAAAATTTAAAGTGTTTCCTGTTTGCTAGGAACAATCTTGGTTTTATACCTCTCACCCAAAAACTGAATATGGTTAAGAGCATTCCATTTTGAACAATAAGAGCTGCTTCAGAGCAGGCGAAAGAGATGAAGGATGAGAATGAAAGACTGAGCCATCGCAAGGTAATGGTGACAGGTGAGAGAGCCATTTCTGGTTACAGGTGGTTGAGGATTGACTGATAGTAAGGGAAAGTGAAAGACAGAACTTGAAGCTAAGATTTATGTTGCATCGTGAACATGACATGAACAAATCTTTACCAAGTAGTCCTGCCTAGTGGCCTAGGGGTTAATTCTCAGTGCTATCACCACTAGCACCTGACTTCGATCCCCAGCCAGGGAGCTAACCCATATATGGTGCAGCAGACCTCGCCTGTTCTTGTCTGCTGCTCCCCTTAGGTCTGTATTTCAGTAAATCCACCTGTTCTGCTCCCCATTATGTTTCTGATGAATCCTCTCACCTTTCACATGTTGTGCCTATACCCTAGTTCTACAGGGAAAAAAAAAAAAAAGATAGAGCAAGTAAGTACCAGAGAAGCAAGATGGGATTAAAATAACTCCAATGACAATGCTCATCAGTAACATTACATATACATGCAAACAGTAGGATTAAAAATTTTGGCGTTGTCATCAACTTGGAATGGAATCATTCGCTCCATGCAAATTTTAGATCTCTAGTATAGTTTGCGAAAATGCTCCTGTCCTCAAAATCTGACATTTATTTTCTCTGTCCTTATTTTTAATAGTTAACAAGTGTTCTGTATTTTCTTAGATCCTATATTTATCTATTTGACATCCATTAATCACAGGACCAAAGTTATTTCCTCTCTCCTGCAATCCAGAGTCCACACTCCAGACCATTTTCTTTATTTAACTCTTACACATCAAGTCAGTATTTCCTCTGCTCTAAATCAACCCAGGGCCAGATACCAGACATAAGTGAGAGTTCCTAAAATTCCCTGAAAAAATTCAAATTTGCCAGTCCTAATTTGTTTACCCTTTCCTGCCTTGTCTTGCCTGCACAATTCCCAGTAAAGGCTGAGCCCTATGCCTTCTTTCTGCCTCCTGACCAAATGGCCCCTGGGCCCTGTGCAATGTGCCATCCCTTTCATTTCCAAGGAAACTGAGTAACAAAACTTTTCTTCCAGTGGCACTTATCTGTACCTATTATCACTTTGTCATCTTTATAAATTAAGATCCAGGTACAAATCAATAAAGAAATGAAGCCTATTTAGAATCAGCAGAAAATTTGTTTTTAAAGTGCTTAAATTTCTCACCTTTTCAGAAGTAACAAGTTTTACACATTGTGTTGCACAATGTGTTACATACACAATGAATAGAAAGGGAAGTAAAGCAGAGCAAAAAAGATGATTTGCCATCTCATTGCCTTAGATAGGTAAAGAGTAACTAACAAAGCCCTTATTTCAACAGTATCTGCAACACACAAGTCTTTTGAAACTGACTAGACCTTAGTTTTACTACATTAAAAACTCAATGACATAATTTTCCTTGGTACATTTTGTATCTCTAATTCAGCTATTTGTTCTTATAGTGTATATCCCAGATACAATACTTGTAAGAGGGTGGTCCCCAAGAAAAGGGGAGGTTCCAGGCTCCCTGCCCCACCCAAGGGAGGGTGGAGCTGAGCAGTCTCCTCCTGGAGAGGAGACTGGGGAAAGAAGAAAGTATGGGGAGCCAGAAGGAGCAGAGAGACATGTGAAGAAATTGTGCTTGCTTCTGGGTCCTGGACTGGTTGAAACAGATGTGGGTGAGAGACCTGTGGGTAGGTTAACAACGGCAACTTTTATCCTGATTTTGATCTTTTCCTCCCAGACTAGTCTGGCTTTTCTGACCCTTTTCTATGGGTCCCCACTGGAAGGTGCTTTAGACTTGTGCCAGGCTATGGGTCAACTCTGTTTGGCTGGACACTTGGTGCTTGATTTGGAAACTATATTCTTTGTCTTTTCTGTATTGCACACTAACTGTAGTAAAGTTCCCTTCCATTAAAGGTCTTCTATGTTTTGTCTTGATGCAGCAGATGGCAGAACTTATTTAGAACAGGCAGGTTTGGGAGTTCTAGGGTGCCCCTCTCCCTGTCCTGTAATATACTGAGGATGATTTTTAACCCTACCATTTCCCTCACTATTAATGTTCCACCAGAGATAGGGGATGAAATATCAAATGTTTTAAAAGACTATTTTAACAATTGCTTATGTTTTCCTAGTTTTATACTTACCTTAAGTGAGAGGGCTAAAAAAATAACCACAAAACAATCATCACATGCATTTCTCAACAAAATGTTAAAAATGCATTAAAAGACTTCACTATTTTGATGAAGATGGTGTATATTCTTGTGTAACATAATTCAACTAGAACCTGAAAAATAAGCCCTATTATCTGCTTTCAAATTTCAAATGTATGTACGCTGGATTTTCATGAAGAGAAGCAAATGTGTGCCATTCTATATTCTCTCTTAATATAAAAATATGAAACACAAGAGGCTCACTCAGGATAGCAAACTGAATCAGTGTTTTTCTAATTTCAGAAAAAGAAACTCAACACAAAAAAGATCCTTTAACTATAGTTAAGGATAAGTTAGTTAAGATACATAAAAGTATCCTAAGAGAATGATTATTATTGTTTTTCTTGTTTAAATACTATGGGTCAAAAAACAGACCGAAAAAAGAAATACCTCAAGTCAGTAAATCCCCATTACTTAGGGATATTTAAAATGATTTTATTTTATATTATACTTAAAAGAAATTAAAAATTCAAATAGTCTCTAAATTTATCTTTAAGAATTATCTATTGGTCAAATTATACTGTCTTCTATGACTTTTTAAAAAATTAAGTCAACTAGGGAATTAGGTAAAAAGAAAACTGAATTTTCTAGCAGAAATGGTATATAATGTTTGGCATAAAGCTGTCCTCTTGCTTTCTAAAAGCTGTAAGAACAGTCACTTTTTAAAATGATATTTATAAATATGACACCTACCTACTATAGAGCTGAATTTTCTAAGCAGACCACTTTGCATTAGGTTAGAAAAATATGAATTTAAAAACATGTAACATTGTTTTAGAGGAAAAATATTACACACTCTTTTCCTTATTTTTTTTTTTTCTAATTTTGAACCTGTAGTATAACGAGATATTTAAAATCTCTGAAGATTAGCTTTTCTATAATCAACTTTAAATTGTTAAAAGAAATACTTACTGGTTGCTCTGGCAAATCCTGCTCTTCTTCCATGAGGACCAATATTTCTTTATTATGCTTATGTGACTGGATTCCAAGTCCTTCTCAGCAGTCTTCACAGTCTGTTTAAAAAAGAGTGGGGATTCAGAGTTTTATGTACTCTTAGAGCACTATCATCGAGGCCATCAGAGAATAATGTTTAAATATTTTGCTATCCCATGCTTTCTACGTGCTTTCCAATCTCCAAATCTCAAACTTACACGTGGCTTTTCAGAACTGATATGCTGTACCAAGTCAAAATAGGTATACACAGTGACTTTTATAATACCTTTCAAAAGCCAGCACGTGGAACCACTTCTGCTGTACTTAAAACATGGTTACTATAGTGCTGAATGTATTAAATATTTGACAATGACAGTCATGGGGAGATAACTAAAACATTTTTTTTTTTTAGGATTAGAGTTACATTAAAAAATGACAAAAACTAGTCTAGTAAGTCAGTAAACTGTGATAACATCTAACCTGCTTTAATGTGGAACATTTACGTAACAGTTAACACGGACACACAGAATCACTTTAAATAGGACAAACTAGAAAATCAATTAAATGCTTTTAAAATAAATTCTTTCACAATCTGTGACATGTAATCAATTTAAAGGAAAACTCATTTCTTCTGGATTTATTAATGAAAATAAATGAGTAAAGTGAAACCTTGATTTCAGAATTAAGAAAATAAGTATGTAAAGTTAAGACCCAAATTTAATCTGAAATAACAAGCGCCACTAAATTCACTGACCAATTATATAAGTAGAATCTTTACCATCCCTGATCCTGTTCTTCCAGTCCTGATTTTCAAACTAAAAAGAAAAGACTCTAAGTCCTATGTCCACTGGTTAAGAACACCTTACTATGTCCCGCTGTCAGGGGAAATAGACAAACAGACATTAGAAGACAATATATTTAAAAACCAAAAAATTCCCCTTCTAATTTACAAAAATGAAGCTAGAACTTATCTGAAACAAATGTGATTGTTCATTTGTTTTCACTTCTAACAGCCACTAGAACTAGCTTAACATGTAGGGGTCAGGCAATATACAATCTTATTGCAGAAGTAATGAAAAACCTCACTTGTGCCAATTCACTCTACTTTTATTGCTTTTTCCTGGTGCAATACAACAAACTTGATTTTAAAGCCATATTAAAGAATGGGAAAAGGAGAGAAAATACATGTAAGAGATACAATTAGAGGCAAAATTATCCAATTCAAACAGTTTTACTTCCTGTCCTGAACTAGAATGTCAAAAGAAAAAAAAGTTTAAAGGTCAAAAGCACCTGATGCTTAATAAACTCACGTGTAGTTAATACACAGAGCTTCAAAAGCTAAGTTCTCATACTACATGACGTAGATAAATATGCTGCAGAATTACAGAGTGCAACAACTAAAGCTCACAGGAGTTATCTTTCCTGCACTTGTTTTGCTCTACTCAGCAGAGCATAGTCAATGTGACGTGAAACTGATTCACACTGTGAAAGATGAAACATTTTTATGTTTTAACAGCTTATATCTACCTTAGTTTTCAACTGAAATATCTTTATGGGATTTTTAAGTACTGCCTAAATAAATGGCATAGTGTGCATATATGACTTCACTCCGTAAGAAACAGCAAAATAGGGCCAAAACACTAGTGAAATGCAGTAATGCCTTTAATAACTCATTTTTGAATTTTTGTGTGACGCGTTCTCACCTACATTAAAAGTGGTAATATTTCATGTAATACTTAATTGAGAGCCATAACTATAATAATTGCAGCCTACAATTAGTAGGTTCTCAGAAAAGGAGAGGGAGGGGATATTTCTTCCCATGGGATAAGGGCTATAAAATCTTATCTCTGGGTGAGAAAAGGAATGAAATTTTTAAAAAAGAAAGAAAATATAAAAGCTCAACATGTGCTTTGCTTTTAAACACAAGAACTAATTTATTTTAAAAATATGAACAAGATTAAAAAGAACAGACTGTTTTTTTTTTTTACTTGACCAAAAGAGGTTATCGGTTTTAAAAGGTAACAAATAGTAAGGAACTTAATAATAGGGAAATAAACTTACAAGTCATACAAAACTGTTAAGACTTTGAATTTTGCTTTTTAGAAATACAGTAACATTACAGTGATTTCGGAATAGAAAGAGACAAGTTTCCCTTTTTTTTTTTTAGATAAATTCAATATAAGTTGCAAGAAAATCTTTACGGGAAAAATTGGAAGACATTACTTTCTACCTCTTCTATTCTTCTTGGCTGAAAATAAGCACTTTGCCATTTCCATCTTAACAATTTACTCAATTTTCTCAGCTTTTTGTTTGAAGGGAACCAAGGGGACATAGATTTCCCTATATTTAGGAAAAAAACCCAAATGTCAAGTAACTGGTCAGTAACACTTAACAATTTTGATGATTTTAAAACCAAAACCAAAACCAAAAACCCACCAAAAAACAAAACAACAATCCACAAGGAAAGAATATGATTTATTACAGACTCTTAGGGAATTTCCCTGGCATGTGATATGTGGGAAGTTTGCAAACATACATTCTAGTACATATGTACACAAATGTGTTAATAATGACTATAAATTATGTAATCCCATCACAACATGTATCTAAGATATTACTTTATATCTGTTTTCTTTCTTTCCTCCAGTAATTTGTAACTTGAGACCTGAAATGTAAGAACAGACTAAATACAAGAATACAAGTATTTATCTTTTTTTCCAAGCACTTAGCAGATATGTGCTAAAACTTTTAATATTAAGACCTTACACATTTTCTGCAAGTGCCACATACTGATGTTACATTTAAATAAAAATGTTATATATAACACACAGTACCATAGCTCAATAATTTAAAAGTCTGACATTACTATATAAAAATCTTAGTATTCTCACTTCCAGGCACTAGTTCTAGAGTTTAATTTAAATGTGAATGAAGTGTTTCTTTTTTTTAACCAGTAGTTTAACATTACAGTTTTCTACATTTAGATTAAACGATGAGCTTCATCTTTTAAAATATCCAATAATACAAGTTTTAAACAGCAATAGGAAGTAGGTTTTTCATGAAATTTAGGTGAATATAACCATGACTTAGACAAATAGCTAATGAAATTACAAAACGCAGAGTTAATGTTTTAAGTACCTCTTTAAGGCATTGAAATACTAATGTCTTCTTACAATTTTCTAGTTTCAGTTCTTTTTTTAAAAAAAGATTTATTTATTTATACACGAACCGGGGTACAGGCCAGATGAGCAGGAGGATGAGAGGCTCCACCAAAGACAGAGGGGGGAACAGAACAGGCAGACTGACAGAAATACACTGCTGAGGGGAGCAGCAGGCGAGACAGGAGAGGTCTGCTCGCTATGTGGGTATCGCCACGGCTGGCAGGGATAGAACCAGCACTGCAGAGGCTGCAGTTTCACAGCGCTGCGCTCAACCACCTGCACAACCAGGGAGGCCCTAGTTTCAGTTCTTATTGGTTTCTAAATACAACTGTTTTATCACCACTTTTTGAGATAGTTTGTCAGTATCCACATGCCTTCATGGACAGAAATTTGGGGAAATAGACAATTAAAAACAGAAATAGTATTTAAGACCTTACATTCCCTTACCTGCAAATGCTGCCAATGAAAAACAGGAACTGATTTTATCAAAAAAAGTACACAATTTTAAACAGTATTGTGATTTCACATGCTCATAAATAAAGCAGGGTCCTTTTACAATATGGCAACCATAACTTTCACTCTTAAGTCTTAGAAATTAGAGAGGAAATAGTAACAAACTTCTCATTTCCAAACTCTAATTAGAGTCCTACCCAGTGATTTATTTTGTACCAAGTTCAACATCCTAGTATTTACTTACCAGTAACTGTGTATGATCATAAGCAAGAGCTGAGGGTCCATGTGTTATTTATAGCTTGCAACATACAAAGGGATATTAAACACACGCATGCAAGAGAAGTGTCTAGAACAAAACAGTTTGATTATAGAAACTCCAGAGAATTCAGGAGTTAACTGATTATCTTTGTCACAGATCTAAGTAGAAAACAGATAGCCCATAAATTTGATCACCAAGTACACGGTATTTTAGCAGTCTATTTACTAGTCCTATCAAAGCTTTGTTTATGTGTGTGTGTACATAAGTATTGTGTGTGTGTATTCGTAAATACAATTATGCCTTAAAGAATGGAAACAAAAAACAAAATACTCTTCTAATTGCTTAAAGGCAATTGCTTCAAATACTGTTATTTAACAATAACTGATCTATTCTAAAGGGCCTATCAATGAACTCAGAAATAAATGTGCCCACGCTCAAAGTACCAAACACAAAGCCTAAGGATACTTGTTCAAAATAAATTCTAATTTATAGACCAGGAGGTATTCTAAGATAAAAATTAGGAAAAATGGTTTCCAAACACAAGAAAACATTTCTGTGGTCTTTTGTGAAACAGTGCTTATAAGCATCAAGTGTTGGCAAAGATGATACAAATTTGTAATTTGGCTTCATAATCTATAGAAGATATACATTAGGTTTCAAGTAAGAAGTAAACAAAGGTTTATTCCAAACCCTACAAATATCCAACTGAATATCAGGCAAAAATAACAGGATCTTGGGGGAGAGGAGACTAGAGGGTATAAGTATATCATGTGAAGAGACCAGAGGATGGCGGTGATAGCGGACACAAAATGCCAGTGAGTGGTATACTTAAAAATGGCTAAGTATTCAGTTTTGTTATGTATATTTTACCACAAAAAAAAAAAAAAACAAAAGACACATGAGACTGGAAATACCAAAACATTGATCAAATCTAAAAAGTGCTTATGAGTTGAGAAAAATCAGTATTTAAAAATACTGTCAGAAAAACTGAGTTTCAGTGTGAAGAGAAAAATATCCATACACTGTAACTGATTCTAAATAAATGAAGAAATAAACATGCCAAAATCTAGGAGAAAACAAAACAGCATTTTTATCTCACGCGTAGAAAAGAGATAAATCTATGGGCAACAGAAGAGAGCATGACCAACAACTCAAGAGATCCAATTACGTAAAAAACACTTTAATGCAATGAAAAAATAACAAATGT